ATGGCTTATTCGATCTAAGTAAGCCTTAGGAGAGATGGTGCATCGAGGTGGGTGAGTGAACTGAACGTCCAATTCTTAGCTGATCTCAGCTTTTTGCACGAGGAAGTTTTATCACCCACCCGCTGCTCTTCCCCTACTAAGGCATAGGTGAAAACTACATTCTTTTGGGTGAGAGCATTCTCTGAGCATAAGTTCAACTACCGCTCTTCTCTATGCTCTAATTGTAAAACTAATGTTGTGAAAAAACGATGGCCTTCATCCCCCCCCCCCCCCTCCCCGACGGTGCTGTATGTAGTCGCGACACTCGTAGTGTACGCTCCGATTATCGATTACTGCTGAGGCGAGGGGATGCGCCGCGGGAGAGGCGCGCGGCGCATCACCTCCCAATCCCTAAATGGCACTGCAAAACCATTGGAAAGCTCTTGGATTTGAATTACTTTCCCGGATATTGGAACAGGTCTCAGAACTCACCACTGAGGAATGAATAGGTAAAGAGGTAACTATATATATTTATACACATAAGCATTGCTAATTAAAAGAGAATTTCCAGTCCAAGCTTTTCTGAAGAGTAATTTTGCGCACAGACAAAAGAAACAGTTGAAAAGAATTTGGTCTTTTTTCTCTCAAAGAAATGACCAAAGTCTTCCTTTCGAAATCTCACTAATATCCCACTAGCCCACGAAAACAGATGAAAAGCTCGAGAGGAAGATTACAAAGCTCACCACTCAAAATGTCCTAGCCCTAACAGAACTGCATACAAAAGAAGCAGATAGAGGACCGTATAGGGCGCGGCTGAGCGTAGAGAATTGGGGTTATTATATCAGGAAATGGATTTGGTAGGGTCTAAAAGTAGTTAGTGAACAGTGGAAGAGAACGAAAACTAAAAGTGTCGGACCGCTGCAGCACTGACGCGTTCGATGACGTATTGGAAATGCGCGCGCGGGAAAACAATTCAAACCCTATTGCCCTTTCAAGATTCGAATGTGATCGTTTCGTAATTGCGAGGTATGCACCGCGCGCGATGCGTAACCCAGTCTCGTCGACCATTGGATCGAACGTCTCCCTCGTTGACGATAGAATCGGACTTCTCCCCCTTTCTGAGTATGAAGTGCTAGGTTCTATATCACTTCGCCACAGGGCGGACACCAGCTATTGGCGACTGGTCACATGCATTCGTGTCAGGATCTTTCACATTCGTGTCAGGAACTTTCTTACTCAAACGCCGTTATCAGCACTATCGTCGTCGGGTGCGTGCTGACCACCGACGTGCTATCGAGCGCAGCATTCGAAGAGAAAATGTCCTGACAGGTTCTCGATGAATAAATCCCAATAGTACTCAGCGCCTAGCAACCCCTTTTTTGGAATTCAGCTTGGTTTAACAAGTAATTTTTGATGAGTTACAAATTAGTTTTTGATGAGTCTGGTTCTATCAAATTATATCCTTCAAACTCTTCGTCAATCATTGCAGATCGGTGACAATGGAAAGGTGGTCGGAATCGAACACATACCAGAGTTGGTAGAATTAGCTAAGAAAAATACTCGGAAGAATCATGCTGATCTTCTTGACAGTGGGCGAGTACTCTTCGTTGAGGTTGGCAATTCGAATCTACATTCATATACTCAATTGTTCATGAAGATAAATTCGTGTAGAAGCTCTACAGGAGTAAAATAATATGCCCGCCCTATTGATTTTTTTACGGAACCGATAGCCCCAAACTGAAAAGAGCACAGCTTCGTATTTCATGGATGCAAAGCTTCTTCAATCCTACCCTCCGAATATCCTCGCTCTCGTAGCTTCATTTCTCTTCAGCTCTATTTCGGAAAGTGACTTCCCACGCTCCACCTTACCCCGCTGAATATATTATCTGCAACCCTCTCTTCTAATCTTTTTAAGTGAATCTTCTCCATACTGCTTTTTGCTGGAAATAATTCATTCAATCCCGAGGGTTATCACACCGATAAACAAGGAAAATATTACGGGATGGCTTCCGAGGAAATCTTCTCTTGGTCCTTTATGCACTAGCTGATGCTGATGGTGTGAAATGAACTGATTTTTTTCATCGGTGAACTATGACCTCAACCACCAAAAAAGATGGCGGCGTGGAGAGTTTTGACCAGTCTCCTTCCCACCTGGGCATGAACCTCTCCGAAAAATAGGCGGTTTAATCAGGAGATTAGTAGGTATCCCGTACAGGCAATAGGAATTGGTGGCATTATGAATAGCAGAAACTCCCAGTATTATTCCGGTGTAGAAAAGTAGTATAAAAAAGATTATCAGCGTCTTATCATACATTTTATTGTGTATATCATGACCATGAAAGTGGACGAACATTTTTTATCACGACCTCGTAAAATGGCCTAGAAGAGGGATAAAATCAACAGTCGTTTACATTTTCAACATTTTCACCGAAGGGATTTCAAAAAGAAATTATCCGATGAGCATCAAAGATTCTGGAAAACGGATATCGGTCCCATTTGAGCAAATGTGTCGAAAAGCCACGAACAGAATGTAGTTGTCGAGTTACTAACTTGATTCTAGACGCGTCAGAGATAGCTAATGGAATTGGTTTGGACACGGCTTTAAAGGGAAATGTCCCTGAATAGCAGGAATTTGCATAATTCACTCAGTCAGCGCAGTTTAAATTCCACTTGCGCCAGCCAATAATAGCGTACTCCATGTGAACCCTGTGTAATCACAGTGAGAAGAACGGAAAAGTAATCACCGGAGACTTTATTTTCCTTTGTTTACGGAAAAAGGAGGCTCTCTGGTCGGTCACTGGCTATAACGAATTTTGGAGTAATTGCCGTGGTTACCGGTTACCGGCCTAACGATAAGTAACTTCTAGATTACCATGATCCATTTTAGTCGGGATATATGTTATTCAAAATCTCAGTAGGAACGGTTTGAATACCTGCAGCAACTCTGCGCCGTCGAGCGCGGGCAATTCAAACGCCATTGATTTTCTGTTGATCTACACCCAGATCGGTTTTTATCTTCACCTTACCGCCCAAGCTTCCATAGCATCAAACTGAATTCGTACTGTGTATTTTCACTTTCTATTGCTTGTTTTTTTCTCCTTTATTTTTCGTCTGTACAAAAAGAACCGAGTCATTCCAGGGTGATGGACGTAGGGGGTATGAGATGGACCACAAGTATGACGCTATACATGTTGGAGCTGCTGCAGAAACCATACCCCAACCAGTAAGTGGAACTCGTTTGGATTTTGTCAGAAAGTGAACAAATTATGAGAAGGCTATAGATTAATTGATACGAAACAGATAAACCACGAAGGAAAAATACAAATAGATAAAAACAGGACAGTGATAGGGGGATAGAAAAACTGAAGTGGTAAGTTAGAGAATTATGTCTCTGTTCTGATTCGAAATCCCTGAAGGAACCCGGTGTTTTTCTATTACCACAAAATTGTGCTTTTGTCCTCAAAAAATGAAAAAATGGTTTTTTTTAAAGATGAACCTTCCAATTCCTCAGAATTTTTTAGCAATAGTTACTTGATTTGGTCACACAGCTCACTCCAAGAAGCTAGTGATTCCTTGCTAGGTCGAAAAAAATTCTACTGTACCACGTGATTTTAGTGAAGCTCAAAAAAAAAAACAGTCTCTGAAAAATCAAATGTAAGAAATCGCCTCCCGTATGCAAAGGATAGAAAGGTATATCGAAGACCTGGAAAGCGCAGCGTTTTTGGACCTCTATGAATCGATTTTGGAGACTTCAGGCTCCATCTTTTCCTGGTTCTGAGAAGCTTAGTCCTTTTTCCGTATGTTTTACCCGTAAAGGACAACACCCTCCTACCTCAGTTAGGACATGCAACATTGGTTTCTTAAGAAATAGGCAGAAATTTACGCATAAAAAAAACGAAAAGGTGGACAGGCGAAAGACAGGAAGGGAGACGCACTAGGCCTAATAAACTCTTCATTTTAGATTTCCTACTGGTTAGAATATTTCGATAAATCTAGCCTTTTCCTGAAAAAAGGGTAGTATTGCAAAAGACCACTCTCCACAATAACGTACTTCACGTAATTTCGAAAAGTGGAACGAATGTTTTTCCAAGCAGCAGCTACCCCTTTTTTCTCTTAAAAAAGTGCAAATCCATTTCATTAGAATGCATTGCGTAGGAGATGTTTTAGCATTTACTTTTTCCATCAAAGTTAATGAAGTTCAAACTTAATCGCCACGAAGTGCAATTAAGTCCAGTATCCATTTACTTTTCTTATAAAAGACTGGTTACTTAACGCTTATCTCATTTACTATGAAAGGTCGCTGCCCAGGGATTCAGACCAAGATAATTAGCAGCACCTCTCTGATTCCCTCAAGCTCCTTTATGAGATTTAAGAGGGACACGCCATATCCTAGCACGGCTTAGTTCAATAAGACTTTAAGATTTACATATTTTGTATTAATCATTTTTACATTAAAATTCAAATGTAACAATTGAGAGCAAACTCAAATTCGTTCCCATAAGAACAACGAGCATCTTAGATGAACATCGCCGACATCCTCATGAAACCTCGAATTTTCGAATGAATTTCCGTGACAGTGGTTAGAAATACGTGAAAAATACCACGTTAGGTGAAGCACATCTTAGGAATGACTTCGTTTCTCAATTGCGCTCAATTCAGCCCTTTAATCTCAGCAAGCCTTTAAAAAAAGTGCCATACTACATACGACCGCCGTTAGTGAGCGAGAATGATTAAGAGTGGCTTGGGGTGCAGCTGCAATTCGTGATCATTCATGTTTTTATTTAGGAAAAAGGTCAGACTTTTTTACATCAATTAGTGGACCTTATAAAAAAGTGAGAAAAGATGCAGGCTTAGAAATAACTGCTTGAATTATCCCAAAAGTTTCCTTCAAAGAAGTAGAAGGCCAGGTGTAAATGACCAGAAAGCCATGCAGCAACTGGCCATTGGCGGTCAGAAAATAAAAATTGGGCGGAAAAAATCATTCACATTCTCTCTCAGTGTTAGACCTATAACGTCTCAATATGATGACGAGCTTTCGAGATTTTTTATTTTGGAGCAGTTTGGATGTTAAGAAGAATTTTCTAAAGAGCCATAATTTTGCAACAGTAACTTCCGTAGGGCTGGAATGCAACAAAACATTGACTTTGTTCAATAATAACTTACTAGATCTGCCGCAGCTCACATTATACTTATGTTTCAAGTGAATAGTTCAAAAAGAAACCCGATAATTGAAAGCACATCCGGTTAGAAGAAGGCGCTACGCTCCAGCTTACTGCTATGAGCTTTTCCACGGAACTTTTGAAAACTACTCGTTTCAATACGTCAGGTCTCACGACGTAAATATCCTTCTAAGAAAACCAAATATAGACACGTTAAGGCTCTCAACGACTTTTACACCCTGGATGCAATACTCGGCAAGGCTCGTAATTGTCTAGGATTAGGTTAGAAATCTCATTACATCTGAGAAATCAAGTTTGCAGTAAGGAACGCATAGGCATCGAATAGGAGGGATGCGGAAGCGATCGATGATAAAAAAAGCTATCGAATAGTACTCAGTAATTCCTTGTTATCCCTTCCAATCGTAAAAAAAGAAACTTGAAATTAATTGGATGGAAATAAATCAAAATATAGCTTTTATGGGCAACTGAAATGAAAACATTTCGCTTCTCATAAATGTATAATTTTTAAATTAATGAGGAAATGAAATCGGGATCCTAAAAATGGGACATAGGATAGCGCAATATTAGAGGCGATAGAGGAGGATCCGCTGTCGTTGGTATTGTGTCAGTCTTGATTCAATTTTAGCGTATGACGTAGGCGTTGCAGTATGCTTATTAGCACCCTTAATCGGCCAATTCTTTGCAATAACAGCCGAGGCCATATTACAAATTTTTTTCGAAGGAAGAAATGTTCCTTCATTGATCGTGATCGTATTTCAAAAATGAATTCTGTCTCCTTAATTCTCCCGTTTTAATTCTATTTTCGTCCTTATTTTTACAGGGAATCCAAAAAAACATTTACATTTAGCCGAAAAGACGCTTGCTAAGGGTACGAAAGAAAGATCACGTGAGATAGCCGAAAAGATGAAATTTCCCAATAACATGGTTGGCTGGTCTGGCGAGCGCGACGGAGATGTTTTGAAGAAAAGTAGTGAAATGAAGTGGTAACAGGATTGAGTTTACGCTAGACATTTCCCTGGGGGAAGGTCTTATGGAGACTAAAAACGCGGAGCATTCCCGAAGAACAACGTCGTGTACTTCCTGTTGCCGAGCAACATTGGTTCCTTATGTCGAAAGAGTCTTGATGAGGCGAAAATTTGGGATACCAACAAGAACGCAACTCACTCTAGNCCACAAGCTCTAGCAGAATAGCGTCCAGTTGGGCGGGGGAGGAGGAATATTCTGAAGGACGGGAAAGAGGATGATAGTAATATGATACTACCCTTCTTATTTTCACGCCATTCTGTCAATAGCACTATTACGCCGCAATATTTGCATTGTGGCTTTTTCTCTTTTGTTAAACACACCCCTTCGTGACTTCAGAAAGAAAATGTCCAGCCTGGTTTTACTTTGAGTTGATCGAAACTGGGCACATAATCCTTTTGCGCCATGCAATCAACTTCTGTTCTGATTTGTGGAAATCCTACAGAATGGTTATTTTTGTCCCACATATAGTGCCTTGAAAGATTTATGCAAGAGCGTTAGGCTTCCTCCTCTCCCCTCCTGTATCACCCAATAGAAAAGTGGTTGAGGGTTGTGTTTAGGAGGATGAACCAGTGCGACAGGTCCTGGCAGATCTCAGTTCCGATCTTGAACCGACCATGAATGTGACAGCGGTTGCACTTGTCACTATTCCACTTCCGATTCCATTCATCACCCCCTTGTAATCGAAGAATTCATAAATCCTAACGGTTGCTATACTTAACTTTCTTTGATCGCCATTAACTACACCAGTTTCAGCTAACAACAAGGTATTTTCCAGTTTATTTGGCCTATTGCCACTATGAAACCAGTGGTTTGCCACCATGAGACTAGCGGTTGTTGCCTATTGTTAGTTGCTAATGCAAAGCATACATAGGCACGCAACAAAGATCAATCATCAAGCCCCGCCGCTCAGCGAAGTTGCGTGGCAGACCGAAGTTGGATGGATAATTGAATAGCGCATAACAATCACCCTCCACACGCAACCACACACACTAGTCGAAGTGAAAGATATCCACATTATTGAGATAAAAAATCCCCAGAAGGGTGGTTTCTTTGGTGGTACCACCCAACTTGAGCATTTTCGAGTGGGAATTCATTTCAATGATTCTCTTAGAAGCACATGATATGTAAAAAGGTCTCTGAATGAGTGTTCATTTCTTCAACCCACCCTGATCTCAGTGAACATGCGGCAGCACCGGAGAACGTCTGGCAAATGTTTAAAAGTTACTGGAACTACTTTCGTTAGGAACAATTGAGCGCATCTGAGTCGAATTTAAACAAGAGACCACCTTTTCCTTTACAGGAATGTTCTTACTCTTTTCGCCGTCTTCCTTTGGTTTATTTTAACAGAATTCTAATTTCCTTCGTCATGAGAAGTATCAGCAACCTTTGAGCATTTGTCAAAACTTCCGTGGGGTTGTTTCACTTTGGGGAGGATTGAAATGAGATTGTTGCGAATTGTCCGAGTGAGCTTAAGGAAATATGTAAGCTCGTTCGAATACTGGAATGTTTAAAATTACAAAAAGTAAAAGAAGGATTTTTTGACTAATTTGATCGTCAGGGTATCATACGCAGCAGTACATTNAGAACGTCTGGCAAATGTTTAAAAGTCACTGGAACTACTTTCGTTAGCAACAATTGAGCGCATCTGAGTCGAATTTAAACAAGAAAGCCACCTCTTCCTTCCCAGGAATGTTCTCTTTCTTTTCACCTTCATGTTTTTACTATATTTTAACAGAATGCTAACTCTCCTTTGTCATGGGAGGTATCAGCAACTTTTGAGCATTTGTCAGAAGTTCCATGGGACTGCTGCACGTTCGTATTCATCAGGGAGGATTGAAATGAGATTGTTGCGAATTGTCCGAGTGAGCTTAAGGAAATATGTAAGCTCGTTCGAATACTGGAATGTTTAAAATTACAAAAAGTAAAAGTAGGATTTTGACTAATTTGATCGTCAGGGTATCATACGCAGCAGTACATTCATGTCTTACCAATATTACAATTGGGGAAAACAAGTAGCTATACTGAACAAAAGGAACTATAGCTGATGACTTTCGTATCGACCAGTTAATACCTTTCAACAAAAACCAGGGTCCACACTAACTACGAGGGCTGGTAACGGCTTACACTTTCTCTAAAACTTCTCAGTCCCTGAAGGCGGTGGTTTCCCTGATTTACCATACACACCATTGGAAAACTTATCTTCTTATTTTGCCCCATAAAAACTACTGAAATTAGAGAACATGAGGGAAGGACGATATTGAAAGCGAATCATAGTACTTTGGAGAAATGTCAGAACAAATAGGAAAAGCAGCTTATGACCCTCAAATGCTGAATCAAGAACCAGCTTTCTTTACATATATTGATGATTGCTATGGAGGTAAAAGTGTAAACAAATTGAATGTGAAAGACGTAATGAAGTGAGTGATCCACAATGTTTTCAGCTCATCGACCAACTAGCAAAAGGAGGGCGAATGCTAATCCCAGTCGGAAAGGAACATGGCAATCAGGTTAGTGTCAGCAACGAAATCGCCTTTCAACGAGAAATCTACATTCCTCATATGTGGCTAATGTCTTGACTATAACAAATAGCTATGGTTCGGTAAAAAATAATAAGTAGAGCTAAGGGTAGGCCGAGCCACTGCTAAATTTGTCCAACCAATTATAGTTAACTAAGTTAATTATATCACCTTGTTATCAACTTGCGATGGTCACTTTTTGCTTTTTTATTTTTTTTTTTCATCATTTCATCCGGACGTCCACTGCAACTATACGAATCTACGTAGGCATATTACCATCGATTCCCCCGCATGAAATTCGCTGCTCATCGTGCAATCATAAAAACCCTGGAAAACAAGTTCTAAATGGGGAACTGTAAAATTCTAAAACAACGACGATATGTTCCTTTTGAAACCGATTATGATGCAAGTCTTTAACGAGCAAATGGGAAAAGTGCAAATAATTTTCCGTATTCAATACAGCTTTTTTGGAAACTATTTCAAAAGCCCTGTCACAAAGTGCCCCAGCATTGGCGGTACATTTATTTCCTAAAACGACGTTTCGTCGGAAAAAAGCCCTTTGCCGGGTACATCGCTCATGTTACGCATAAAAACGCAGCCAGCAAAATCTGGGGAGTAATCAAGCTCTACACGGGCAAACGTTCGGAATAAATCATCGAAATGTCATTGATAAAAAAGTTCATGTGAAACTAGTTGCACATTTCATCATATGCAAGTTTATGGGTATTGTCTATCTGGAAACGAAGAGATAAAGAGGTACCATCGTTAAAATGCCATAGATCTCTTTCGTTTCTTATAATTTACAGCTTATTAAGCCTACTTGAGATTTTTTTCTCTTCAAAGCCAAGGAAGCTTTACTCGACCTTAGATTTGCTTCTAAAATGCGCTTATCTTCAACGAATTGTTTTAAGAATCAGAAACGAGCTCAATGAGAGGCAAAAAGGATATTTAAAGGCACAGTTTACGATAATTTTGGGTAATCCAGGTTATGACGAAAAATGTAAGATAAGATGGAAAATAGTGCGATGAAGGCGAAGAAACTGCGTGAATAGGTGCTTCCAAAGTGAAAAAAAAGCTTCGAAAAATCGGTAGAAAGGGGGTAGGACGAGAATAAGATCAGAGAAACGAAGAAAAATGGAGCGTTTGGACGGGCTAGACAATGTGTATCAGTGCGTAAGTATGAGTCCTGGTACGATTAGCTGTCTACGGTAAGCGAAAATTCATCACTCATAAGCATAAGTTAACAAAAAACTCTAGAAAGGCCAAAATTTCTCACCTACTTCAGCCTCTTGTGATAGAAAACTTAATAAAGGATCATAGCAGCAAAAAGAATAGTAGAGAGTAAAGGATAAGCAGAAAAAAAACCTCGACACTCATCTTACTCATCGATCGAGGGGCGGGAAGTTCGCGCGAGCTATTAATGGGGCTCCCACTATGCCCTCACCGTTGTGTTTTTGGGTGCGAGAGGGTCCCACCTATTACCCTTGGGGGCCACTGGGTATTTCTAAGGATAGAACCCAGTAACCACTTTTATCGTGAACTGCGCCTTTAAGCAATTGTGAAAATGTATTTGATAACACTATCAACTTTTATTACTCCACATGTAACACAAACAATTCATAGAGGAAGATGTTCTCCAGGATTTACTCATTACAATGGCATGGAACACAATTCCCATAAAAGTTCTACACCATTCATTTACTTGTGTTCAGTATGCAACAAGTCTTGAGCTTTTATCTCTCCTAGATCGCATTTCGACGTAGAACATCCTAGCCCTACTAAATCATGACAAATAGCGAAACAGGAGGGTTGGGAATTGTGCTTAACAATGAATTCAAGGGACTAAGTTGGGCTGAGGCTTTTCTCAACTACCGTAGTCTGTACTGTGGTGCAATACGCCCCTCTCCTGCTTCTAGTGGATTAACGTTAGGCTTGATTCTATGAGTCTGAGCTGTTCGAATTCGCACTGACTCTTCACTATTTATTCGATTCCACTCGCTTCTCAGGTATATCGTGCCGATACACACACTATGTAGTAAGCTCAATAATCGTGCTCTTTATCACCCGCTGATGTTCCCCAAAGCACACGAGCAGTAGATCGTTGAACACTGGTTACTTAGCTACTGATAACCAAAAGCAGCTGAGTAGAACGGTAGTCTAAAATCGCGACTTGCACAGCAAAACGCATCATTTCTCTTCGATTTAGCTTTCCTTTTTTATTTACTGATCAGCAACCATATAAATCCCAGACAATGTTTTTCATACTTCCAGGTTTTCCTACAAGTTGATAAAGATGAGAATGGTGAAGTCACACAGAAGGTAATCGAACACGTTATCTACGTGCCGCTTACCAGTAAAAACCATCAATTGGGTCGCGATTGATCTACGACGACGGTGATAATCGTCAGAAGTGTACGACCACCACCAGATCATTTCTCTTTCTCTCCCTTGATTGCCTACACCGCATATTGCGCAGAACACACAGACACATTTTGCTTTCTTTCACAAATACGAATCGGTGATGATTACCTCTCAAAATTAATACTAAAATATTTTTCAAATAGACCACATACCTTATTTATTACACCATGGACACAGTAACAGTGAAACGCGACTGTGTTCAGAGGAAAAAAAGCCCTGTAATTATAAAAATTTTTCGTCATCACATTATTCGTATTGTACATTACAGCTGTAAACTAGTTTCAGTACGTGTTTTATACAGACTTTTGAACAAAGTACGATTGTATTCGCTGCAAAGCTTTTCCACTCAATGTATAGCTGGCTGATAACCAACGTTCTGCGTGGTGTATGTTGCCGTTCTGTTTCGTTTGAAAGCGTTTTATGTTTTACTCGCTTATTTTACAATAAATCACTGCATGCATGAAAGTAGGACAGTGGCATCATAAACAAATGAAAAAAAAANAAAAAAAAACAACAAGCCGAAAAAATATAACTCACAACACGCAGTGGTCAGATCAAAATTCAATTAAGCAATTGAGAAATCACACATCAGAAAATAAAACAGTTCGCAGTGCATACTGGATAGGCATATGGCCTCTTAGATCTCATCCATCTCGTTATCACCAGATGTAAATGGTGGGAAATCACCGGTAGCAACATCTACAGGCCGCACAAAACCGCCATGCTTGTCGTCACATTGAAAATATCTGAAAATCGGTTTCTACGACCATTCTTCTACAAAAGAAACGAAAACTCAAAAATAGAGACGAAAAACGAATACCAATTGAGTATCCCAGAGTTCTACAGCTGGTTTTACTAATCGGATTAGGAGGCCGTGTCGTTGTAGGGCCTTAAGGGAACGGCTCTTTCTCTCCGACAATTCAGATGCACAGCTGAGATTCCAGATGGCAGGGTGGTTTGCATGTGCCGGAGAACTAAACGTCCCTTCACCTGCCGTACAAGGAAATGATAAGAACCCTCCAAATTCGATGTAAAGTAACTTGGACTCAGGCCGGTAAAGAGAAATGACAGCAGGGTATTCTCTGAGCTGCACAAAATACTATACATTCTATTTGAACGATATTTTCCTTCTACGCCAATTCATATACACCTATCCCTGACCCCTTCTATGAACTTAAGAGAATGAAAAAAGAACCTTTAGAACACTGCTTCATTCCTTCAGTTCAAAACATCTCCAAAAATAACCTTCACCAGCGCGGTAAAATTACACTAACCGCTACAGCTGCGTCTCGTTTCGTTCTTGAATTCATGAACATTCTTCATCAATGATATATTGGGACACCAGAGAAGTCTTGTAAAAAGTGACTAATAGTTTTCCCTACCTGACACCAGCGACTGCCCCATCATTTTTGCCGACCGGTTCATCGTACGTGACACCGACCCAAGGCCCCTCTCGGAATTTCGTTTCCCCGACGAATGCCACCACTCCACGACGTGGTACTGCACCACGAACACGCACTTCACAACGATCTCCAACCTAAAAGAAACGTTTTACAACCTAAGCTTCATAAGCATGGCCTAATCGATACACCAAAAGTGAAATTCATTCCCCTTCCATACGACTACAGAAGCACCTAGCAACATGGCACTGAGTGGCACTAAACGTCAGCCCAAAAACATTTGAAATGCTAATTTCCGAAACGATGTACTAGTGAGAGAATATCATCGCATTCATTGAGCTTTTTCGATAGAACGAAATGCATGACGTTTCCATTTCACGACCTGAATTAGCAAAATTCTTACTTACTAGCGCTGAAAATGGAAAGTTCCAACAAGTCCACATTTTCTTGTTGACAACAATGGCTTTCGGAGTAAAGACTGGTTTTAACAATTTTTGCATTGTTACAGGGAACTTCGCCTCTCCCTCTGACAAGCGTTCATTTCAAAACATTTCCAAGCCTTTTCTCGGAAGTGAACAGATTGGAATGATTTCATAACTTGAAACAGTGGAACTACGAGGATGACTCACTAAGTCACGAAATGCTTAAGACCAGACTTGCTACCGTATTCCACAATGCTTTCCGTTCATAAGTAACACCCAAGGGAGGTAAACAGTTAGTCAGACCCAGAGCAGTGCTGCATTTATAGAGCAAAGTGCGAAATCCAAGCACAAGTCTTTTCTCAACAGCTTAAATACTCCTGGACACACCTTTATCTTCTTCACCAGCTCTTCATTCAGGTCACCATGGTCCGAAGCAGCGTGTTCATGACCAGTGGCATTTTCAGCAAGCAACTTCTTCTTCCATGCTCGTACACTGTCTAGAAATAGAAAAATGAGAAGGAAAATAGAAAGATCAGAGACAAACACAAAAACAGTTACAACCAAAACACCTCCAGTTAGTATTTTCGAAATTGAACTAGCAGTTGTTTCAACGTTTAATGCTCCGGCTCTCCCATTAAGGCTTTACAACATCATAAGCAATAGTTAAGATTCACAAACTTCATCGAATCATCCTATTTCAGAAAGAAACCTAAGCTGCTCTACTTATAGTCTGAATCTGATCGAATGAGGTTTTCTGAATGAAAACTTTGTAGATCCTCACCTTCTCGTTTGTCGTACTGATCATCGCTAATCGTGTATTTTTCAACCATACTGTCATCTTGTAACTCTGCGTTCTGACCAGAAACATCAACTGCACGAAGTCGCATACCTAGACCACGCTAAGGATGAACTTCGACAAGAACTAGGGCTAAATCTTATTGCTCTACTCTACGTACGTTTTTTGCGGATAACCGACCATTCCAATAACACTGCCACTACCAAAAAGAAATATCCGGTAGAGCAAACTAACCACTCTTAACTCCCAGTTCTTTGAGACTTTTGCCTCCATCCGTCAATGACGAAACGAATTTTCCTTCAGCATCGTGAAGCTCGATATGGATGTTTTCAGATGTTGCTCCGACAACCAGCTCTAGCTTTTTCTAAAACGAAGGAAAACTAACTTATTAAATCACTTTAACAGTGAAGCAATCGACCAATGTCCTACATCAAGCCATAAATAATTCTGACGGCCATGCCTTGAGTTCCCCAAGTGTAAGCGTTGATGGATACTTCTTTTCGTAAGGGAATTCGGATACATTCGATGAGATCTCCAATGCATAGACTTCCGCCATTGTTCTGAAATATACACTGACTACACTTAAGATATGTAGAAAGCAGACAAAACCTCAGCACAACATTTTACGGAAGGATAAATAACCAGTTCGTTCAAACGCCTAAATAACATTGTATGCAATATCTAATTCGACATTAACAAATGAAAACAACACATCCTGACGCAAATCACTCTCCGAAATTGAGGCTAGGACATCAACAGCTGCTACAAGCGCTAAATGTCGCCTAGGAAACAGCATCAGGATATTTGTAGTTATACTATTACCACAAAAGTCCTTCGATGAAGCCGTATTCACATGAGTGTTTTCATTATCTTCTCGTGTATTTAGTTATCCGATAGACGGCCATGCAATAATAAGTCCCTGTATGGTGACAGAAATATCTGGTTGAGTGAAAAGTACAGATCCCTATCTTTCCAATCCATTGCAAATTGAGAGTTCGGTATCAATCCTGCTGAGCAGTGAAAACTAAAAAACTAACATTAGGTCATTCTGCAGAGTGATAAGAGGATAATTGGGAATCGTTCTTTTAAAGAACCATTTCCGAACAAAAAAGTCCTATTCAAATCCAAGTTCCGACAAACTGCGTATTGCCAATAGTAATAATTTTCCATTTAATTGACAATTGAATCTTCTCAATCCATCATCCCATTTCATTGCATTGCTGGTCTATAAGAGGTCGATCATTAAGATCCTCGACCTGTTTTCAAGGTTTAAGTGGATAATTTACGACCATCATTGCATTGAAAAAGATTTCAGCTGAGTAAAAGAGCTTACTATGCGGCAATATATCACCCTTTATCTTTCTTTTACGAGCTTCGATTGCTTTCTTTTCAAAAACAAGCTCATTCTCGATCTGCCCACCTCTTCTTTTCATCCTCGAAGTTATAGCAGATTCATGAATCTCTCCCAAAAACTCGTTGAACAGCCATTTCCAACTTCTTTTATTGTGGAACCTTGATCGAAGAGAAAATGGAGCTTTTTGTGTCAATACCGATTTCTTCAAATGAACTGCGTAGCGAGAAACCCTACCCTCACTGAAAAACCCATGCAAGCGCTTAATTAGGAACAGATCAGGTGGACCTGAAAGATATGGCTACTTTCAGAATTCGACGACCGTCCCCGTCCGTCCGTCCGTCCGTCCGTTCAGCGCGTGCCGCGACGGCGGCGCCTGACCGTTGTCGACACACTGGATCACTTGCCAGCGNGCACGCGCTGAACGGACGGACGGACGGACGGACGGATGAATCGTTGAGGTCTGAAAGCAGCCTATGGCGCTGATAGGTATGCGATGGCCGAGTAATCCGCTGGCTACACAAAGATATTGGCCGAGTTGTTCAGGATTTACTACATATCCTTGACAGGCATTGAAAAAAAAAAAGAATCTGCCAGAATGGAGCCCTTTTGCCCACCCCTGAAAGGCCGTCACGGTTATAATAGAAATGGCGTTGCAACTGATATCAATCATAAACACGATTTTAACGAACCGTCGGAATTTGATAGAAAATTCTTCACTCAACCGTTTCACTGTAATTCATCAAGTCGCTGATGGTCAACAGAAACAACACACTGGGAGATATTTTTGGGATCTGTCGCTACCGTAATCTGGTTCGTAAAAAGAATAGTGCCAGAGACATTGTTTCACGGTATAAGCAAATTTGAAGGATAGAATTAGACATGTTATCATTACGTGCACAGCTGTCACAACAATTTCGAGACGCTCAACGATTCATTTTCAAAAGATTCTTCTCAAACCCTGGATCATTAAACCTCGAAATCCCGTCCCTTTGTCAATGGCTGTTTGATCGCTCCATAACAACCAGGCTCTACGACTTCAGGTTGTCGCTTCGAATTAACTTCAAGAGAAAAAGCATGAGCTCTGTCTTTAGATGTAGCACCAGCTTATTAACCGTATGGCAGCCCAAAGGACATATAAACGAATCCAATATGCTTTCATTGGAAATTTATAACAGCAGCGATGGAACTGCTAGCAGCTTAGGAACCACGACGCTTGAATTTCGCATAGTAAACTATATTACCGAAAACTAAAAAACAAAACTCTAGTGGGCGACAAGATTTCCACAACGAATTGAGCAAAGTCATCAATAGAGTCCAAAAAATGGCCTCGGAATCCATCCACCACGTTTGAAGCATTCGAAAATCAAACACCTGTCATCCACTAAGTTTAACGAGGAGACTCACAAAGTCATGATTCGATAAACAGCGTAACTGCCTGTCAAGCAGAACTACACCATCTTTTGCCCAAACTACCGGCATCACATTTCGTGCTGGCTGATAGGAAAAGTACGTAAGCCTTCTATGATATCTACATCTCCGTGACTCAGGCAAGAATTTCACAACGATGGTCGCGCTCCACCAACTGATCAAAGTTTTGCATTGATTCACCTCATTCCCACGCTTTTGATCGACTCAATGTAAAATGAATGAGAGAATTAGATAAAATTCATGCACAACCCTTCGGCGTGCAACGATATCGATCATTGCCGAGCCCCTTGCCTTTCGGCCAGCTCAAGGTATGACTTTGGTCACTGGCCCACCACCCAATTTGAAAGATCACTAGAGAACCTTTCTGTATTCTGTACAACTTCTTACGTCTACTAGATAGACGGCGAAAGGAATCACTGATTTTTGAATAGGATTTAACCTCAAAACAGCAAAACTTAGACCGAATGAAAACCATCAAAAACGCTGTGAAAAGAGGACCTAACAGAATAAGTCGTGACTGTTGCTCACATCATACCTTAGAAATATCACTGAGTTAATGATCGAGGGTAAGCGGTTAATTTTGTCGTCATTTATCAAATCAACAGACAATCTCCACGACTTGACGACATTACAAAACGATTGATGAGAGGTTTTGTGAACGTAAGGAAATAGTGGACATGCAAACCAGATGCTCTAGAATGGAGCTGGAAAAGTGCTAGGAAATGCCATGCATTCCTGGGAGCAGGCGAGCAGGAAGCGCGGGAGGAAGCCGCATTCAAACGGTGACGAAATCGTGCTCAAATCGTTTTCCGTGCAGGGCCTCCAATTCCTATTGATGTTGCGTCCTTCAATCAATATGATTTTCGACGTCACCCATGCGAAATGCTGTTTGTTATTGATCGATTTGATTATTGGTTTGGATCCTTTTCATCCAAAACTATCTAACATTCTCTACAGGTAAGCACTGAAAGAGATAAACGAAACAAATCAATTTCAATTCATATTGTCTGTTAGAATGGCTAGCTTCTTTCGTCTTGAACGTCAAATCGCCTTGGCGACGTGATGTGTTTGTGTTGATTTCGTTACATTCCAGTGATAGAAATAACTTAGGATCGTTGGCTAGTTTCCCTCAGCATGCCTACTTATCCTTCATATCCTGTTTTCTTTGACGTGAAATTTTCGCTGCTTTTTCGCCCCTTCCCCTTCGGAAAACCTAATGATACGAAGGGGCTCAAGAAATTTGCGAATGCTTTTCAAAATAGAAAGTTCCGTTTCGGGTAGCTAGTATATTTCCTGTTAATGGTAATTCCTGGTTCGATTTGAACCGGTATTTTTGATGAGGAAGGTGCACTCATAACAGGTGCGTTTTACGCACATGTCGGCTTAAAAACGCACCAGTCCCACTATGAATTCACCCATACGCTTCTTAGAGGCTGCTATCCCTGAGGATAGATTGAGTGCAATCATATTACTTGCATTTTAATGCAGATGTGCACGTTGGCGCACTCATGGTACCTGCTTCTGAACGTAGGTACCATGAGTGCCCGCAGTCTTTTGGTGTTGTTCAATCCCATTTTCGGAGTGCGCCCCATTCGAAATCCATTCAGAATCGTAGTGGCGTTTCGAATGCATATGTGGCCCAAAAAGTGATTTACGGTTGCCAGCCAATTCACAAGATAGTGGTTTTGTACCCTGGGCGAGTCTGGTACCTACAAACCGACCCCAAGGGAATGCAAGTGGTTGGCCTGGCTGTCGATCTGGGATGTGATCCCCGGGATATGCTTGTGTGATAAACGCCACATGCCACAACACCACCTCCGCCCTACAGTTGTTATAATATAATACAAGTACGTACCTAGTACCTTCAAGCTTGATCGAATCCGTATTTTATCTGCACTAGAATGTATTAGCTTTATTTCAAGTCTCTTCAGAACCACGGCAGGAGCCGGAAATAAACGTGAAAACTTCGCTGTTGATCTATCAATGTGGGTGTTACGGGTGGCTATAAGATCTCATTAAGTAATGGATTTGCAATGCCTTCCTTCATGAAAATCCGTGCGTTTGACGTCTTCTATAAGTCACTTTTCTAGTAATGTTCATCATCATCGTCTTTAATGTGATCGGATAATCCGCTCAACTTCTAATCGCTTGCTTCTCTTTTTTGTTCTATCCAAACCACTTACATACTGGTTTGGCCGAATGAGCTCACTCATGAGCTGTTTGGATGGAAAAGAGTGGATTGAGAAGTATTTCTCAAAATACGTTCAATAGAAGCCTTTCATTGTCATTTGTCACCTGCTGTCGAAACTAGTGTTCCCTTGTTCTGTCCAAGCTTCAGCAGTCTAGTGTCCCAAACGGTTCAGAAATGTTTCGTATTTCGAGAATTGGCTCAGGCAGCTGTTTTATCATCTCAAATTCACTTATGGGTACAGCAGAAGTTATCTTTTTATGACAAAAAGATTGTCCCGAATGAAACAGGAAAGAAAATTCAGTTAGGAATATAATGCAGTGGACACAAACTCTCACAGACATTTCCTTTCATGGCATAACCCAATTTGAATACAGAAATCATCAACCCGTCACATTACGCATCAAAATGGTCCCTTTCCTGGCTGCAGTGTTCATTAGATCCCATTCCCAGATTACTGTGTGGATCGGGCTCCCGTACAGTTTTTTNTTTTTTCTTTTTTGTATCCCTGAGGAGGACAGGAAAATACCCATTGTTGAGGGCAAAGCATGGAAACGCCATTGGTAAAGCAGGGAATACAGGGTTT